GATGAGCAGAAGTCCCGAATCCAGGCCATGAAGCCCATGACCAAGGAGGAGTGGGATGCCCGGCAGAGCATAATCCGCAAGGTGGTGGACCCCGAGACAGGGCGCACCAGGTGGGGAGCCCTCGGCCTGACTTACACCGCGGGGTCTGGGAGTGTTGGCCGAAGATGTGAGGAGCCCGGCCGGGTGAGGGTGCTGCTGCCTGAAAAAGGCCAGATGTGGGCAAAAAACCATCACTGCGAGTAAGCAGTTGTAGGGGTGGAAGGGCCTGGAGGAGGCTTTTCAAAGGGCTGTTGTTGGCGGGGCTGAGGCTGGCAAGGTGGAGCCCAGCTCGGCTGCCTTTATCAGGGAGAGTGGGTGAGGGCCCAGAGTCTGCCCACTCAAGGCTGCGGGGCAGGAGCCTGGGACCCCTCTGCCGGCTGCTTCTGGTTCTGCTCCTTTGGCATTAGGGGAGCTGCCTATTCCTTGCTGAATGGAGACCCTCCCACCCCCAGGCTAATTAAGGGAGATGGTGAGGTCCTAGAGGAAATCGTAACCAAAGAACGACACAGAGAGATCAACAAGGTGGGTGTGGCCCCTCTGCCTGCCATCCACCCCCAGCTCTGTTTGTGATATCTCCTCCTCCTGTGTGCTTTCTTCCCCAGCAAGCCACCCGCGGGGACGGCCTGGCCTTCCAGATGCGAGCTGGGTTGCTTCCCTGAGGGCCCCGGCTGGCCAAGGCCTGTGGACGGTGCTGGCGACCCGGCCTGGGCAGGCTTCAGGGTGCCAGTGGGAAGCCTGATGAGTGCTGGTGGCCTTTTCCCCGTGGATTGGCCTCTGGCCCAGCCCAGCCTCTTCTCAGGGGCAGGGGGTGGAGGATGGGGTCACCAGCCTGCTCGGCACCCCCATCTGAAACAGCGACACTTCTAAGCTATTAAAGGTTCTCTGGTTAGAGACTTTCTCTGTTCTGTGGCTTTTTGTGCTGAGGGGGAGGGAAGGGTGCTACATGACTGCCAGGGGAAAACAAGGGCTCCGGGAGCTTTCGGGAAAAGCTGGGGTGTCCTCTGGTGGTAGTGAGCACAGGCCACACCAGCGCCTGAGCCCTCCTCATCTTGCCTGGACCAGACCCCATGCCAGCTGAACCCCAAACCCAGAGAGCTGGCTCTGAAATGCCATGCCCTGAGGCATGGAGAGAGACAGCTTCCCCTGCCATGTTCATTCCACAGATCACAGCAGTGCAGAGCCAGGTGCTGGGGCCGGGTGGCCTGTGTGGGAGGCCTGGCTCCTACTGCCCAGCTGTGTCCTCCATTCTGAAGCAGGGAGGCTCACAGCACCCGCTTCACGGGGGGTCTGTGAGGGCAAACTGAGTTCCAGCCAAGGAAGGAGCTAGAATCAGGCTAGGCCCAGAGTCAGCCCTGCACGAATGTGTTGGCGTCACTGTGAGTGTCACTAGCGTTACTGTTCCATGCCCCCATCCCACCATGCCCCACGGTCGCCAGTGCAGTAAAGAGACCCAGAAGGAAGCCTTCCCGCTTCTTTAATTGGTGTGACAGACATGACGTTGTATACAGAGCACACTCAGGCCCAATGATGCGGGGACAGCAGGGACGGGTGGGGAGAGTGGGGATGCTGCTCACACATGGCCCAGAGAGACAGATGGCACATGGACAGACCAGACAGGAGGGGCTGAGACGTGAAGGCTGTGATGGGGCGGGCAGTGGGACTCAGACCGAGCCAGGGAGGGGTGGGGGTCTCTGCTGAATCCCTCTTTAGAAATCAAAGAGAAGGCAGGTGGTGGGGCCTGGGGCCTGGGGGTGTGGTGGGAGTGGGACTAAGGCTTCTATTCTAACAGGCCTGGGGGGTGGCAGTCAGCAAGGCCTGCCTCACCCTTTGGTTATGACTGGTCAGGCCTGAGCCCTGCAGCTCAGCACCCAACTCTGTAAACATTTTTGGTATTTTTAAAGGACGTTGCCCTCCCTCTCTCAGTTTCAGAAAGACTGGTGCTTCCTCAAGAGGAGAATGTGCCAAAAGGAATCTGAAGGGAGGAGGAAAGCAGACCTGGATACAGAAGAGACTTCCCATGGGGGGCGGGCTGCCCACCTTGCCATCTATGGCTGAGGGCCGCTGGGAGAGCCCCAGGGGACTATTGCTGTTGTCCTTGGCATGGCTGGCGGCTGGGCAGGCAGGTGGGGAGCGAGGAGCCGAGGAGCTGTGGGGGAGCTGCCCCCTAGGGAGAGGCTGAGCCCAATGCCCACAGGGCCTCCCGGCCTTTATTGCAGGAGGGCCCGAGACTCTTCCAGGTGCTTCTCTGGATGGCTGGTCACCGAGGCAGCAGGCAAGACAGGATGAGGTGGGGCCGAGAGTGGAGGAGGCACTGGCCACAGGGCCCCTGACTGGGGCTGTGATTGTCGGGCCAAGCGACTTCCCGCTGGGAGCAGGGGTGTCAGATATTGCACTTTCACTGCAACAGTTACATGAAAACTTGGTCCATAAAATAATCGTTGCTTTATACATAATGCCTGAAACAACAACAAAAAGCTACATCTTAAATATGAATAAACCCTGAAGGTTCCATCCCTCCAGACATTTTTCTCTGCACAAAATAAATAGCTTTCACTCTGTATAGACCCACTTTTGCAGAACATTTACACGACCCTTTGGCTGTACATATCTACACACAAGAAAAAGTTAACATCACTCTGTGCACCTCCCCAGCCCAGTCCACGCGGCCCAACGCCAGGCCCAGGTCGGCCGTAGCTTCTTGGGGACGTAGCCTGTTCGCTGGACAAAGGCTGAGGCCAGGCAGGCTCTCCCACCTCAGGGAAAGCCGAGGAGCAGCAGAGGGGCCACTGGAGCTGGCCATTGAGCGCCACAGCCAAGGTACGCTTGGTGCTGGGGAGAGAGGGCAGACGGTCAGACCCAGCGTGCAGGACAGCATGGTCCTTGTTCAAGCGAGAAATGAAGTCATGGCTGCCTGCCCTGAAGCTGACAAAGCAAGTTGTGGCTTCTTAGATTCGGCATGAAAACGGAATTGGCGTTAAAAAAACCGAAGTGTGTGCCCCACCCACCCCAGAGTAGAAATTCAGTGGGATTGCCGGGGGCGGGTGAGGCAAGGAGCCCATGCCTCGCTGAGTGGGCAGGAGCAGGGCCCACGGGACCCAGAACCAGGCTGGACTCCGTCACAGTGCTGGGTGTTTTCAGTGTGGAGGGGCTGCTCTCAGTACTGAAAGAGTTAAGAAAAGGAAGCAGCCAAGGATTGCTCATTTAAAAAAACCTCATAGAAATCAGATTGAGAAGTAGAAAGGCGTAGAAACGTGGGCGGGCGGCCTTGACTGATGGCAGGGAGCGGAAGAGGCGGCCAGGCCCGTCCAGCCCGTGGCCTGAGGCTGGAAACAACACTGGCCTGGGCTCCAGGCAGGGCAGGCGGACAGGTGGGCAGGGTCCGGGGCGCAGAAATTAAGATACGGCCTTTCTCTCCTGCTTGCACGAGCCTCTGCCGCACTGGAGCCTTCAGTGTGGTTGTAGGTCCTGGGTCAGCAGGTACTGAGTTTCATGCATGCCAACGGGTCTGTAGCCATAGGAGGTGGTAATGGGTCTCCGCTCTCAAAAATCAGTGCAAAACCAGTGAGGTTGGACAGTTGAGAAACTCGAGTTAACAAGATGCAGGCTGGACCCCGTTGGAGCTGCTACCAAATGGGAGGGGACCTGGGAGTGAGGGTGGCCAGTGAATGGGGATGTGACAGGCTGGGCTTGGGCCCACACCTGGCACCAGGACACTTGGAGATCCACGCAGGGCAAAATGTCTGGGAGAGCCTCCCAGGCCAGTCTGAGTGGGGAGTCCTGGTCCCTCTGCCATCCTGGGGCTGGTGGTCCCTGCCAGCTTCCATGACAAGCTGGACCCGTCAGGCCCGAGGACGTGAGGCAGGGCAGGGAGCACTGTGTGGTGTGGCCCGTGTCCTCTGCAAGGCCCTGGGACAAGCTCCCGGGCCCACGTCTCTGCATGTACCCAGGCCAGGCCTCCTAGCACCATGGAGACCTCGCACTGCACTCACGGTGCCCTACTTGGGGCCTGTGGCCGCCCCCGGCTCCAGGCGGCCAGTCATGGCGCGGCCCCAGCAGCCGGCCGCCATGCTCATGCTGCGCTGGCCCCGCTGCTCGCCATCTGCCTGGCTCTGTGTCCGCTCGTGCCGGTGGCTGGGCCCGCTGGGCTGGGCCGAGATGGTGCGAAGCAGGTGGTTCCGGGAACGCAGGAAGTCGCCCTGGCCTGGCAGGCCGAAGCTGCCCTTGCGCAGCGCCATGCGGGTGGCTGTGTTGCGAGCAGGCCGCGCCCGGTGGCTGTACTTCAGCTGCGCCAGGTGGGCTGCGTAGCCGTCCGTGATGAACTGCGGGGGCAGTGAGGACGGCTGTCACAGGCCGGGGCTCCCTGAGCTGCCCGCCTGCACCCGCCTTACAATGCGCCTGCTCACCTGGCACTGCTGCTGCAGCTTCTTGGTAGGCCGGCCCACGATGTAGATCTGCATGGGGGACAGGCTGATGGCGCTGTAGACCGCCACGTCCTTGGTGGAGCCGTAGGCCGCGTGCACACGCAGGTGCAGCTGTGGGGAGACTGGCATGGGCACAGGCACCATGGTCCCTCTGCTGCCACCCGTCCTGCCCCCAACCTCCCGGGCCCCACCTCGGAGATGAGCAGCTTCAGGAAGTTGGCCTTGTGCCGCAGCGGGTCATGCACCAGGCCGTCACAGAAGGACACCACACCGTGGGGGAAGTTGTGCTGGGCCAGCCACGCCACCACCCGCTGCTTCTGCATGTCGGGCCGGCCCGTCACGTAGATGATGAGGTAGCCCAGGTCCTGCCAGTGCCTGGGGGTGAGGGGCAGGCCTGGGTGTCTCATGGCCACCCCTTCCTCGCTCCTGGGCCTCCCTGTCTCCTGCCCAGCCAGGGCCCACTTGGGCCATTGGAAAGCACATCTGATAGAGCTCAGACAGTGACGATGACAATGGTGACAATGACGGTGCCGCAGCAGGCCCTCAGGTGCTTGCACCGGGCGGCAGATGCCCCTGCTGTGGTGTCCCTGGCTTACCAGCCTCACTTTCCAGATGCGGGAATTGAAAGCTGACATTGAGAAATGACATCGCTTGCCCAAGGTGACACAGCTGATAATTGGGGGTGCCGGGCTCTGAACTGAGGTCATCAAGGCCCAGTGCCTGAGCCAAGCGTCCCCCACAGAGGTTCCCCTGTCCTCCTCCACTTGGCTAGCAGGAGCCCCTGAGCCCACACACCTTGTTACAGCCCTTTTCTGCCCCTCCGGGCCACTCACCGCACCACGTCCACGGCCCCGGCCCGCACCTTGGGGTCGCTGCCCATGATGGACACGCTAGCGGCAAAGGAGCCGTCGATGCTGAAGACCACGAACTCTGTGCCCTTGGGCAGCACAGTGATGTAGCTGTCGGCAAACGTGTGGTCTCCCCTGGCAGGTGGTGGGGTGCTCATCAGAACCACCCAGAGCATCGCCCTGCCCACCCCGCCCACCCAGTGCAGGCATATACCTGACCACCATCTTGATGGGGTAGACACCCACGCCCAGGCGGTGCGACTCAGGGATGGTGTAGGAGACACGCCCACTGTTGTTGGTCACCAGCGTATCCAGGTAGAGCCACTCGCCCGAGGGTGGCTGGGTCATGATGTGCACATCCACCTGGGCCCAGCAGGCTGGTCACGGGCTGGCTGTGTCTGGCCTCCCCGCCCCCTGCACCCCGGCCAGAGGGCAGCAGGGAGCTCCCCAAAGTCCCTCCATGTTACCCCTACCCGCCGTGTCCTTACCTTCTCCCCAGTCAGGGTGACCATGTCCAGGGGCCCATACATGAACCTGCCCGTCAGGACCTGGGGGCCGTCCTCATTGGCGAGGGCATCATTGATCCGGTGGTTGGCCGTCACGTTCTGTGGAGGGAGCAGCAAGCCCGGGTCAGGGGGTCAGAGGGCACCCCAGGTGCCTGTGTTCTGCTCAAGCTCTGTGGGCCTGAGGGGCAGGCTTGAGCTATGAGCTGCACAGCCCACATCCAAGTCTGGATCAGACACGATGGTGTGGCCTTGGAAAAAACTAGGAAGCCTTGCTGCCTTCCCTGTCTGTGAAGTGGGCTGACAGCTCCAGCCTCATGGCCCTGGAAGGTACATAAGACTGCAGGCTTCCCTGCAACTCAGTTTCCTCATCTGGACACGGAGGCTGGTGACAGGGTGACAGCGTGGGGGCCTGGGCGCCCGGGGGACCCTCACCCGCAGCTTCACGTGGGTCCGCTTGCGCTGCCACTTCTCCCTTGGCTTGGAGGGGGTGAACACCGACACCTCTTTGCCATCCAGCTCCAAGATGCTGGAGTTGTCATGCCTCATGACCTGGGAAGAGGGGACAGGGCAGGGCCATGGGGCAGATGGCACCCTGGGGCTTCCTGCCGTAGGAGGAGGAGGAGGCCCAGCGCCCGGGAGCAAGAGGAGCCTGTGGGTTGTAGGGTGCGTTCTTCAACCCACTACCATTTGCCCAGTAGTCCTCAGATCCCTGTTCGTTCACCTGACGAATGTGTAGATATGTTCCCTCCATCCCAATATCCTTAAAAGCCTGAACACACCCCAGCATAAAGGTGCCTTCGTCTTGCTTGCTCTGTGATCTGATGGGGTTGGAGGGGAGTCCTCACTGTCTCCTCGTCTGTGAAACGGGGCCCTGTCATGGGTGTTGTCACTCAGGGCCCTCCTGGGAGGCCCGGGGCCCCGGGTACCTGTCTCAGCAGGAAGGAGACCACGTCTGTTGACTCCCAGTAGCTGGCGTGGAAGAGGTGAGGCAGAGCCACCGTGGGGAAGGCCGTGAGGGCATCAGGGCAGTACAGGGCATAGTCAATCCGCTTCTGGCCCCACCACTTTGCAGCGACTGCCAGGAGGGGCCGTGATTGGGCTGGGGCTGTATAGCCCAAAGGGTCACTCGGCCCCTCTGGCCTGCTCAGCCCAGCCCAGACCCCCCACCAGCTATAGCCAAAGTGAATCTTCTCCCAGGCTGGGGGAGTGAGGCAAGCGGGAGGGAGTGCAGGCAGAAGCACACAGACCCAGGCCAGTGGTGAGTGCCAGCCCTGCTGAGGGGCTCCCGTGGTTGCATGGGGGGACCAGTTGGAATCTGTGGGATGGTACCAGCTGTCCCTGGTCCCTTACTGACTCTGGTGACCCTCTGCCCTGTAGCAACCCCATCACTGCCCTCTCTGGGCCACTCCTGGTCTCCCGTCTTCCCCCTAGGCCTCAAGACTGGGAAAGGCTGCACAGAGGTGGGGTTACAATTCCTGACCTCCAGGGCAAGGGTGCTGCCCTCCTCGCACCTGGGACACCCCACGAGCCCTGAGGCACAGCAGTGTGGGTGGGGAAGCCTGGGCCTCCAGATGGATGGTCCTGGTGCATCCGGCTCTGCCACTAGGGGCTTGGCGAGGGCAACCTTCCTGAACAAGACGAGCTTGTAAAGTGCCTCTTGGGCTGTCCGCAGGGGGGCCCAGCAGCAGGGCCTGGTTTACAGGTCCGGGCTTCCCTAGGTTCTGCCCGCAGCTTTCCTCAGAGCTTCCTTGGTCCTCATCTGGCCTCATTCCAGCTTTGTCAGGTCCCCGGTCCCCCCACCCCACTAGACAATGCTACCAGCTCCCACCTCCTCCCTGGATGGCCAAGTCCTCCCAGTCCAACCCCCAGCTCCCTGTTAGGCCGAAGCAGGGGTCCAGGTGGGCAGAGCCTGGTGGTGAGGGGTGCTCAGCAGCAGAGTGACCCCCCAGTGAGGGGAAAGCGTGTGGGGTGGTACCTTCTCTGATGTCCAGCTCAGGGAGGCCAGGGGCCCTCTCCAGGCTGGGACTCGCCTGCCTGGCTGGAGGGTGGGGGCCAGGGGTGATAGGGCGGGGTGGGGGCAGGGCGAGCAGGGACAGACGCCTGACGCTGGGGGTATGGCTGAGCGCATCGGGGGCCTCTGAGAAGCAAGAGCAATGGATGGCTCAGCCACGTGGGGGGCCACTGCGCTGCCACGTCTACCAGGGGCCAGGCAGGACACTGGGACAGTGCCAGGCCTGCGGCTATCAAGGGTGGGCCCCTTGGCCCTCCTCACGGATGAACACAACTGCTAGAAACCCCCATCCCAGCCTCAGCCCCTGTATAGCCACGCTGACCGCAGCTGTGAGAATCCCTGGCCCAGCACGGGGGGGCAGCCACCTGGCGGGGACTGAGAAGGAAACCCAGACTCTGCTTGAAGCACCAAGAAGCTTCATGCAGGAGCCAAGCATGAGGAAGGTGGGGCCCTTCCTAATGCGCCTTCTTCCAGAATCCTCCAGAGAAGGCGAAGCTTCTCAGCCTGGACACTGCAGAGTCTTTGGACTTGACCAGTCTCTGCTGTGGGGCTGGTCCGGGCACTGCAGGTGCCCAGCAGCCTCCCTCCCTTTACCCACCGGGTGCCAGCAGCATCCCTCCCCAGCTTCAGCAGCTAGAAATGCTCCGAGACCTGGTCATCAGCTGTCCCCTATGGGCACGACGGCCCTGGCTGAGTG